TGATGTTGATGGTGATGGTGGTGGTGATGATGATGGTGGTGGTGGTGATGATGATGATGGTGCTGGTGATGTCGACGGTGATGGTGATGGTGCTGATGATGATGATGAGGATGGTGGTGGTGATCATGAGGGTGATGATGATGGTGGTGGTGGTGATGATGACGATGATGGTGATGGTGATGGTGATATTGGTGATGGTGATGGTGATGGTGATAATGATGGTGGTGATGATGTCGACAATGAGGATGGTGGTGGTGATGATGATGCTGATGGTGATGATGATGATGATGATGATGATGATGATGATGATGATAATGACGGTGATGGTGATGGTGATGGAGATGGACTTGGTGATGATGTTGATGTTGATAGTGATGACGAAAATGATGCTGGTGATGATGATGACGATGATGATGATGATGGTGGTGGTGGTGGTGATGATGCTGATGGTGATGATGATGATGACGGCGATGACGATGATGCTGATGACGATGATGATGGTGGTGGTGGTGATGATGATTATGGCGATTGTGATGGTGAGGGTAATTATTATGGTGGTGATGATGATGATGGTGATGGTGATGGTGATGGTGATGATTACGATGATGCTGATGATCGTGATGGTGGTGGTGATGATATGGTCATGGTGGTGGCGATGGTGATGGTGATGGTGATGGTGATGATGGTCGTGGTGATGATGATCATGATGATGACGGTGGTTGTGATAGTGCTCATGATGATACCGGGGATGACGATGATGACGGTGATGCTGATGGTATTGATGATGGTGATGATGATGGTGACGATGATGATGATGATGATGATGATGATGATGATGATGATGATGGTGGTGGTGGTGGTGATGCTGATGCGGGTGATGGGGATGAGGGTGATGACGATGACGATGGTGTTGGTGATGCCGATGATGATGGTCATATGGATGGTGCTTATGGCGGTCGTGGTGGTGGTGATGATGATGATGATGATGATGATAGTGGGTGTTGTGTTGATGATAGTGATGATGGTGGTGGTGGTGATCTGGATGGTGGTGATGATGATGGTGATGGTGATGGTGATGGTGATGACGGCGATGGTGGTGGCGATGATGGCGATGATGATGATGAGGAGGAGGAGGCCGAGGAGACGGATGTGTAGGAGGAGGAGGAGGAAGAGCATCCCATGCGGATCTGCAGTGGCATTGTCAGGAGGCCGAGGAGGAGGGGGAGGACGAGGAGGAGGAAGAGGGCGAGGAGGCGGTTGACGAGGAGGAGGTGGATGAGGAGTAAATGCCTTCCCCCCCTGTTCCTGCGTAACTCAATGTGCATGCTCCATGGCCCCCGCTGTTTGGCAGTTCCTTCCTTTTCTTCGTTTAGTAGTTTTACTCGTGTTAGCATCATTATCACCACCACCACCACTAGCAGCAGCATCATCACCAGCACCATCGTCATCGGCATCATCAGCAGCAGCATCATCATCGACGACAGCACCCGTATCAGTATCATTCGTAGTATTTCTGGTATCCTTTTCAAGATGTGCCATCACACTGCTATTATTATGTATCATTAGTCGTGATGTTTGTATGCTTATTATTATGATGTTTAGTATCCGTAACTATTTTATCATTACTAATATTATCACCGGTAGTATTAGATGCGTTGGCAGTGGTAGTATGATCCGCATTCTTAGTCGTCGTAGTACCAGTAGATATGTTCGTATACTACTATTGGTATAATGGTGTCGTGTCTTTATCTCTTGGTTGTCTCACCGTCCTCCCGTCGATGGGCCCATGTAGAGTCAACGATGGCGCCGCGGTAGTATAATGGATACCGTCTGCAACCGTAGCCTTAGGAGGAGTATCCAGGAAGAGAAGGGGGACACGGGGAAAGGAGGAGGAGGAAGAGGAGGAGACGGAGGAGGAGGAGGGGGAGGAGGAGGAGGAGGAGGAGGAGGAGGAGGGGGAGGAAAGAGGGATGAGGAGGGAGGGAGGGAGGAGGCGGAGGGGGAGGGAGGGACAGAGGAGGAGGAGGAGGCGGAGGAGGAGGAGGAGGAGGAGAAGGATGACGAGGCGGAGGAGGAGGAGGAGGTGTAGGAGGAGGAGGTCGAGGAGGAGGAGGGAAGAGGAGGAACGTTGGGAGGATGAAAGGGGGCGGCGGACTCTGTCGATCGAGTTTCGGGGGGGGGGCGCCTGCATCGAGGAGGGGAAGGCGCAGGCGCATGAGGATGGGAAGGAGGAGCATGAGGTCGAGGAGGAAGAGGGGGAGGAGAAGGGAGGAGGAGGAGCGTTGGGAGGAAGGAGCGGGGCGGAGGACGTGGTCGATCTAGGCTCGGGATGCCTGGATCGAGGAGGGGGGCGAGGAGGAGGAGGTGGTGGAGGAGGAGGAGGAGGAGGGCCAGAGTAAACCCACGATGTATCAGTGATGCGGCAATGCGCCCTCCCCGCCCCAAGGCCCCTCCTCATACGTCCGTGCAAGCTTTCCTGCTCGCTGAGAGAAGTGTGCCCCCCTCGATGGAAGAGCGCCCCGTGAGCCTGCCATGCGGACGAGGCACCGTGTGGAGCAAGAACTGCTGCCCATCGGTCGTTGAAAGCAGATATCTTTGGAGGTCCAGACTCCAAACTACTTTCAGCGCCTTTCTACGTCAATGATCGAGTGGCGTTGCCTGTTTCGTCTCCTTTGGGGGGCGGACGGACACTCAATCTATGTTCAACGCCTTCCTGCTTCATGTTTCTATCTTCCGACCGATGGGTACGCAGCTTTCCAGCGAGCAGCCACGAGCACGAAAAGGTATGATCATACGGATCGGCGAGGCGTCCAGCGGTTTCCTCGTTTTGAAAATGGGCACCCCAACTTGGGTCCACATGCGAACCCTACCCCTGCCTCCCACGAGTTCTGAGGGGGAGGGTGGGGTTCACTTCATTCGGGAGTTCCTGAGCGAAGAGAACCCCACCCTCCCCCTCAGACATCGTGGGGGATAGGGGTAGGGTTCGCATGTGGCCCCCTATATACCGATGCGGTCCCGAGTGAAAGCCCCATGGTGCCAAATGAGCCACCCTCGAACCGTGCAGCTGATGCATATCTTAATGTTTCGACCAGGAGGGGGAGATGGGGGCAGGAGGAGGGGAGAAGGAAAAGGGAGGAGGGGAGGGAGGAGGGAGCGGAGGACGAGGAGGAGGAGGAGGAGGAGGAGGAGGAGGAGGAGGAGGAGGTGGAGGATCTCGTGGCCTCAGCTTGATTCCCTTTTGAAGCTCCTGCAAAAACGCGGTCTTCGGCAAGCCTGGCCCAGGGGCAAAATTTTCGAGGCCCAAGATCCAGACCTCCAGCGCCTTCGAAACATCGTTCGCCAGAGGGCCCTGCTCCATGCGTCAGGGGCAACGTTAGGGGGGGATAGGCTCATAGGGGGGGCGCCTCGACCTCGAGTCGCCCTCTCACCGCCGTTAGGGGCCCGACAGCACACCCCGCCAGGAAGGCGCGGCTCCGCTGTCGGGGGCCAATTGCCGACCTGTCGGCGGTGCATCGCCAAACAGAAGCCCTCGAGTGCCCGTTTTCAAGCATCCCCTTCCAACAAGGTGCGTTTGAAAGCGGTTCGGTCAGTGGTTGGTTCTGGTGCGACTCAGTTGATGGCACTGGGAAGTTGTCAGGAGAGGAAAACACACACAGACACAATTAATCGTCGACTCCCCCGAAAATATGGGAAAATATTGGAAGTGGGGGGGAGGACACAAACCCAGAAAACATGGGAAAATATAAGGAATCCTGTTATTCGTGTGCGTATTTATTTGTGTGCTCCAGGGCCCTTCAAGTTGGCCGGACTGGTTCGAGCTTGGTGGCTCCCCACCTGAGGCGGTGCCCCCCCGGAGTTCCCGGCCATCCCCAGAAGTCCAGGCCATATGCCTGGGACCGGCGTTGCGTCCCCAGCCATTCTCTGTCGGCCTCGGGGACCAGCAGGGTCCCCCAGAGACCCGAAGCATTCGTGCATTTGCGTATGTGTGGTGTGTGTGTGTGTGTGTGTGCGCAGTAATGCGCTGGATGCCGGGGGGGGGGGAGGAGGAGGAGGGAGAAGAGGCGGAGGAGGAGGAGGAGGAGCGATACAGGCGTTGCGATCTCGAATGACTGAAGCCTGCCCAGCTCAGAAAAGAGGAGGAGGAGGAGGAGGAGGAGGAAGAGTCATGCGCACGCTTCTCCCTCCTGAGTCCGGCCCCCCCCCCCTCCAGTCACCGTTGCCCCCAAGGGCGCCCTCGAGGGCGCGAAGTTATTCGCGCTTCGCGCAGCGCGAAGCGCGAAGCTGGGAGCCCTTGTGCCCCTCGATTCTCCGGCTCCCGGGTGCTCGTGCTGCGCCCCTGGGGGGGGCCGGGAGCGGAGGGGCGTCGGGAGCCCCCGGGCAGCGCAGTGGCCACGTCGGCTCGGGCGGTTCTCCCAGGATGCCTCGGGCGGCTGGCGGCTCCGAGGTCCCAGAGTTGCGTCGGGCCTGTCCCTCCACAGGGGGAATATCCAAAAATAGTCATCAACATAGTCTGGGGACAATTTTTTTGTTTAAATATTTTTGGGTATGTTTGGCGTATGTTTGCTATTGTTAATTTTTCGTCCAAAACCCCCCCTGTAGGGGGCCAGGCCCGACCTAATCCCAGAGCCGTGTGGTAGTTGATCGTGCGGCGAGGTTTTTGGTGAGCTCGAGCTCACCACGCGTTTTGTCACACCATTTTGGGACCCCCAAGATTCATGGGCTGGCGACTCCAACAGAGTCGGGCACGGGGAGGGGGAGAAGGAGGGGGTGGTAGTGTCAGCACCCCAGCAGTCCAGCGTCAGTGTCCCAGAAACAAGCAACACAACACTTAAGTTGTGTGTTGTTTCGGGATTCTGGAGGGCCTCGTCGGGCCCCAGGACCGTCATAAACTGATTCGTGACGGAAGAAGAGTTGCGATTCCGGTGGGGGGGGAGGGGGGGGGCTTACTGAAGAAAGCAAGACATCGTCTCTGTGCGATCTGAGCTTCCCCTGGGCGGAAGGATCCAAAGTTCGAGGTGGTCAAGATAGGCCCTAGCTACTACAGGAAGCTGGTGATACCAGAGAACCTGAAGTTCAATTGCGGGCCCAGCAGATACGAGGACGAGGACGAGGACGAGGAGGTCAGAGAGATGGACGACCAGATGGAATACCAGGGCGAATGATGGGTCCTCAAGTTGCCCAGAGCAGGGGCAACACTAGGGGGAGATAGGCTCAGCAGGAGGCGCATCAATCCCGAAGCGCCCATTCATCGCCATTGGGGGATCTATAACTCACCCCGCCAAGGAACTTGCGGATTCGCTTTCGGGGCCTATCGCCGATCTATCCAACTGAGTCCAGCAATTCCGCCACATCTCAAGCGAAGCATTCTGGGTGGCGACTATTCGAGGGGGCACGTTAGGCCGTTACATGTGAATCCTCGGGGCTCTCGAGGGCCCAGGGGGTCTCGGGAACCTCTTGGGGCATCTTGGCATTGTCGGGGGCGACCCCGAGGCTCTCGGGAGCGCTCTGAGGCCTCTTGGGGGTCTCTGTGGGAGGGCCGTGTGAGGGCCGGCTTTAGATCCTCTTGGACCGCTTTTGGGACAGCTTGGGACCCTCAGTGGCCGTCCTGAGGCCCTCTTGAGGCCCTCGCGGGCCGTCTTGAGGCCAGCTTGGAGGCTTATCGGGCCGTCTCTGCTCACAGAAGCAAGGACTATGGATCATGCTAAACATCCGTCATGATTGGAGAAGACCAATGGTTTTTGTCTCGTCGGGCCCTGCTGGAGGGTCTCTTCAAGAGCCCTCTTGGGCCGTCTCGCGAGCCGCTTGAGCAGTCTGGATGCCATCATAGCAGTCTTAGAGATATATTGGACCGTCATGAGGGCATCTTGGGCCATCTTGGGGGCCTGGGAGGCTTGTCAGGACAGTCGTGGGAGCCATCTTGCGGCCTCGCGCAGAGGGGGGCAGGGGGAAGGGGGAAGGCCTCTCAGAAGCACCTCCTGCTTCTTAGAAGGCGCGGGCCCTGTCTGCACGTGGATGGACAGCCCCGCGCCTTCTGAGAAGCAGGGGTGCAAAAGGCACGCGCGAAACCGCAAAAGCACGGGGAGCGGAGGTCCGAGCGATAGGCGGGCAGAAGGCTGCGCAGAGACCCTGCCGGACAGCACTTGGCATTCCGCCGCGCCACGACGCGCCAGGGGGCACGGCGGCGGATCGACGATGCATCGCCAAGGCCAGGTCGACGTTTCGGCCCCTGAGCCAGCCCCCCCCCCCCAGTCCGTCCCCCTCAGGCGACGAATGGGTTCTCAGATTACCCATTGCAGCAGTCTATCACAGATTCATCGTCGGCGCTCGCGCCCGGAACAAGCAGAAACTCGAGATGGAGTCCGGCGCCCGGATAGTCGTCCCTCACAGAGATGAGATGGAGGACGCCATTTATTTGCGGGCAAGGCTGAAGCAGCAGATTTACAGTTGCAAGGCTCAGATCGAGCTCCTGTGCGAAAAGGAGGAGGCCAAACTGGAATTCACCCACTTCCTTTCCGTGCCCCTTGCGCACGACGTCAAGTTCCGGCAGCAGGTTGACCAGTTCCGTGAGGATGTTGTTTTGCAGCGGTTCCCAGGCATCGAGGCCTCCATCTTCATGCCTGCCAGGCGAATGCATTTCACGCTGTGCATGCTGAAGCTGCATTCCCACGCGCAGGTGGACGAGATGAAGGAGCTGAAGAACGAGAAGACCAAGACGAGACATGACCAGAAACTTTCGGAGGCCCGCGCGGATTTCTTTGGGCGGACGCTGGGCCGCCCCTGGCAGCGCCTCCGGCGTCGGCCCTGGCGCTCGCCGCACGAAGTCCGCGCGGACCTCCGAAAGTTTGTGCCTGTGCCACCTTTTGATCCTCCAAGGCGGCTCTCCAGGCTGGGGGGCGCAAACTCTACACTAACACCGATCCCGCCCAGGCCCACCCTGTGCCCCAGGATGGACCTAGCGAGGGTCGGTATTGGTTCGCATGCCTCTGGATAGAGGTTCTCGGGAAGCTCCGATCTCCCAGTTGTTCAACTCTCGTGGTTTTCCTCCTCGATCTTGGACTCTGGGGCCTGTTATCGGGCTCCGGGGCCAAGTCATATTGATCGGGGAAACAAAATTCAGAAGGAGCAAGAGGGCATGATAATGATACGTTCCAGGTTTTCCTAGGCTTCCAGGATTCCCAAGATTTGCTAATGTTCCGCACCGGCTGCGCCGCTAGATACCCTGGAAATCTTGGAACGCATCCTGAAACAGAATTCTCGCCCTCAGAATTGCCCCGGGCAAGGTAGGCCACGCGCAGAAGGGGGTAGGGAGAGGGGGTAGGGCGGCAGAGGCTGCTTCTTAGAAGGCGCGGGCCTTGTCTGTAGATTCAGGGCGGGCGCCTTCTAAGAATGAGCATCCTTCCAAGAAGCCCCCCCCTCCCCCTGCCCTCTGCGCGCCGCCAAGACGAGGCCGAGACCTCTGGGGCCGCGCATAGGAGCAAAGCACATCGTCGGATGTCTGGGAGCGTGCCGGCCATGGACGCCAGGACCCTCCCTGGCCCGCGTCCCTGTCCCGAGTCATCTTCTGACGGTCCCTGGGCCTTGGGCCCCCCCTTGTCGGCCAAACGATGGAGCAGGAGGGGCAGGAGGATGACGAGGAGGAGGGAGAGCAGGAGGGGTAGGAGGAGGAGGGGGAAAAGGAGGGGGAGGAGAGGTGGTTGAGGAGAGGAGCGGGAGCAGGGGGAGGACCAAGATCAAGTCAAAGTAACGCAGGGGACCGGACCAAGTGTAGGGGGAGGAGGAGGAGGAGGAGGAGGAGGAGGAGGAGGAGGAGGAGAGGAGGAGGAGGAGGAGGAGTAGGAGCAGCAGCAGGAGGAGGAGGAATTGGAGGAGGAGGACAAGGAGGAGGTGGAGGAGGAGGACGAGGAGGAGGAGGAGTGGGGGTGTGGGGGGGAGGAGTGGGAGGAGGAGGAGGAGAAGGAGGAGGAGGAGGAAGAAGATGAGGAGGAGGAGGAGGAGGAGGAGGTGGGCAGGACGAGGAAAAGGAGGGGGACCAGTGCAAACCCAAGCCCCATCTTGCAATAAACTCTCCCTCCAAGTTCCCTCATCGTAGGCCCCTACAAAGATTAACCTCCACTGAGAGAAGTGACTCATTGGAAGACAAACGTCTGCAAAAAACCCGAGCCGTCCCAGAACACCATTCCTGGGACTTCAACGCTGCGAATAAACGTGACTGTTGCGTCCGGACGGTCCTGAATCGTGCCAGAACACCGTTCCTGCGACTTCAGCACCGCGAATCACCGGAACGGTTGCGCCCTGACAGTCCTACACCTTACCAGAACACCGTTTCTGGGACGCCGATTTAAGAATATTTGAAATTGCTGTCAACTCTTAGGACGAGTGTGCATGGAGTCAAAGCGAGAGCCACACGTTGAAGAGATACCGGCCTCCATCCGTGAAGTTGTTGCAGACTATTTGGTTGAGTGCGCGCGGCGCTCAGGCGAGAGCCACGTGTTGAAAGGCACCCTCCCTCCATTCCGTGAATCTCTTGCTAATTTCAGGACGACTGTGCGCGGTGCCATGGCGAGAGCCACGTTGTGGAAACGGCCCGCCCTCCATCCGTGGAGCTCTTGTAAACATGCGCAGCGGAAGGATCATGCATGGCGAGGAGGCCTCCAGCGAAGCACCCAGCCCGCCCTACGGACACGCCTCGGGGCGCGACAGGGTAAGGGAGCGGGATGGAAGGGGAAGAGGAGGGGGAGGAGGAGGAGGAGGAGGAGGAGGAGGAAGAGGAGGAGCAGGACTAGTGTAAACCCAAGAGTCATCAACGATGTTGGAATGAACCCTCCCTCCAAGCTTCCTTTTCACAGGCCCCTACAACGGCTCATATTCCATTGAGGGAATTGCCTCGTTGGAAGACAACCGTTTGAAGACTTCGAAACATGCCAAAACATTGTGCTCGAGATTCCCCAGCCACGGATCAACCAGACTGCTGCGTCCTGACGATCTGGATCGGCGCCTGAACGCCGTTTTTGGGACTTCAACACCGCGAATCTAAGTAATTGTTGAATCCTGAGCCCTTCCAAATTACCATGTCTGGCACGATGACGATGGGGATCCGTGAAACTCTTGCAACATTTTAAAACGAATGTGCGCGGCGCTAAGGCCAGAACCACATTTTGAAAAGAAGCCCTCAATCCGTGAAGCTCTTGATTTGTTTAACGAGTGTGCGCGGCGCTGAAGCGAGAGCCACATTTTGAAAACAGCTTCATAATCAGAAATGGTGAGAAAGTCTCAGGCGCAACGCCGGGCCCGCACTAACAACTGGCCTCGGGGTGTGACAGGGAGAAGTTATTCATAAGGAAAAGGAATGGAGCAGGAGAAGGAGTGGGAGGAAGAAGAGGAGGGGGAGGAGAGGGAGGGTGGGCCGAAAACGGCGACTAGTCTTTCGGACCCCTACGTTCTGGGGTCCGTTCTTCGCCATGCGTACAGTCAAACATGACAAAGACGAGCAACTTTCCAACAGCGTCCTTGCCTCTTCGGCCCGTCCAAGGTTAGTCGTTTTCGATGGCCGTCCTCCTAGGATGTTCTTTGGGCTGGCGGCGTCCTTAGACTGCGCGGCGCGACGTGCCCGTTCGACACGGACGGTGCCGATTAGGGTGCCTTTGCATCCTTGGGGATTGTTCGCGCGCGCCGCTCACAAAGGTCATGTTGGGCGTCCAAGAGGGTGTTTCTTTATTGTTTGGGGCATAGTGGGCATAATAGCCCCCGGCCCCCCCCCTATAACGTAACGCCCCTCCCCCCCCTAGTGCGCTCCAGGCACTGCCGCCGTGCGAATCCGGATCTCAATCGGCGTCCGCATAGAAGTCCGCATAGGAGATTTGTCCGCATTGGGAATTTCATGGGGATCCGCATAGGGAGGAGGAGGAGGAGGAGGAGGAGGAGGTGGAGGAGGAGGAGGAGGAGGAGGAAGAGGAGGACGAGGAAGGAGGAGGAGGAGAAGGAGGAGGATGGGGAGGTGAAGGTGTCGGAGGAGGGAGGAGGGAAGAACGTCGCATTCTATGATCAGCACTTGTTTGACGTGGCGTTTAGTTGTCCGCAGCAGATCCTCACCTACATGCACGTTCTACCTGTCCTGTGCACGCAGGCGCTGTGGTGTACACCAGCGCTGCGTGCACGCGAATGCTGAGGTGTAGACAGGCGCTGTGTAATGCACAGGCGTTGCGGTGCACGCAAGCACTGTGGTGTACACAGGCGCTGTGTTGCGCATGGTTGCTGCGGTGTTACACATTCGCTGTGGTGTGCACCGGCGCTGTGGTGCACGCAAGCACTGTGGTGTACACAGGCGCTGCGGCGCACACGGCTGTTGCGGTGTACGCAGGCACTGTGGTGTACACGCGCGCTGTAGTGCACGCGAGCACTGTGGTGTAGACAGGCAATGTGGAATGCACAGGCGCTGTGGTGCACGCAAGAATTGTGCTGTACACAGGCGCTGTGTTGCACATGGTTGCTGCGGTGTTACACATACGCTGAGGTGTACACCGGAGCTGTGGTGCACGCAAGCACTGTGTTGTACAAAGGCGCTGCGTCGCACACGGCTGCTGCGGTCTACACAGGCACTGTGGTGTACACGCGCTCTGTGGTGCACGCGAACATTGTGGTGTACACAGGCGCTGTGGGCAGGTCGCCACCTACATGCTGCTCGCGTCGTCGTCGGCGTCGGCGTCGCTCGTCGCTCGTTGCTCGTCGCTCAACGTCGTCGTGCGCGCGGGCGCAGCTGTGGTGCTGGAGTCACACGGCGGGGGGGGGGCGTTACATTATACCCCCGCCGCGCCCCCACCCCCCGTATAACGCCCACCATATCCAAAAATAAAGAAATGTGCTCCAAGGGCCTTGCGTCCGTTCCGCGCGGCCTTATGCTGTGAGTTTGACTGCAGCCAATGAGCGGTCACAGGCGTTGTCCCTGCGCCTGGCGGGCACCGCGGAGTTCGCGAAGCCGCTCAGCGCCAGCCTGCGCGGCCTGCACATGTCGGGGGCGCCCAAGAGATTGGGACGTCGGGCGATGTTTTGTTTTTCGCGTGTTGCTTACGATGTCCATATCCATGTTCTTTTCTTTCTCCTCCTCCTCCCCCTTCCCCCCCCTCCCCCTCGCCCTCCTCCTCTCCCCTCCTTGTCCCTCTCCTCCTGCTCCGCCTTCCAGGAGGCTCTCGACAGTTGCCGTACGTTCCTTCAGATCTGTCGTGCCCCAGAGCACTTTCCAGTAATTGCGCCTCCTTCAGAGCGTTCCGGGGGTGCATGGATCGTCCCGAAAGGCCGCCTCAGGCTCGAGTTGTGACCTGAAGGCCGCCAGGCGTCGAGGGGGGTGAGGACTGGGGGTTGTATCATGGCCAGGGCGCATGAAATCTCCCAGTTTTCATGCGCCCTCTTTCAAAACATCTGCTGTCCCTCCCCTCGTTGTCCGCACACACCTTGGGCCATCTTCCTGGCCTTCTCTTCGGCGAACCCGAGCACATCATGACCGACGATCCTACGAACGTCGGCGTCGTTTTCACGACTGACAGGGCGCACGCGCTGCAGAACCGCATGAACAGCGTGTGCCAGCTCATCTACGACGAGCTGAAGGATCGGAACCTGGTCTCGCAGCAGAGCCTCATGTCTCAGCGGGTGCTCTCCTCGGATGGCATACACGCCGAGGTTAAGCTTCACGCGACGCTGATGAACACGAAGTACAGCAGGTCCAACTGGCGCGAGGACGGATCCAGGGGCGACCGCGAGTCGTTCGACTCCAGCGTGCTCATGGAGCGGTTCGGCCAGGTAGATTTTGGGGACGTGGCGCTGAGGGAAATACAGTTGTCTTGCTTGGAAGAGATGGGCGATGACGGCTACTACAGGTCGTCGGGTTTGCAATTCTTCGGGTGCTGGATTGGCGAGGGTGCCAGCGTTTCAATCGGTTCCGCAGCGTCGTAGTCGGCTGTGTTTGGCCGGTTCGATTCGGTCGGTTGTTGTTGTTGCTGCTGCTGCGCCGTTGCGCCCTGGTACGCTGCTTGCAGCCTGTCGCGGTTTCGGTCGTTTTCGATCTTGCTGTCGGTTCGGTCGCTTTTCGATTATTTTGTCGCGGGGAACGGCCTTGGTCAGTCATTGGCCCAGGCGTTTTTGTTAGGACTGCGTGCGTCGAGGGGAGCGGGTGGCCCTTCAAAATTCGGCAAGACCTCCCAGACAACAGACGGGCAGTATAACACTCCCACTCCGTGCAGGTACGGTGGCGGATTAAACTGGAGGAGCATACATGGAAATGAAGTCTCAAGCGACACGCCTGGCCCGCCCTACCAGCACGTCATGGGGAATGACAGAGAGTTGTCCATAACGAAGAGGGATGGAGGAAGAGGGGGAGGGAGGGGAGGAGGAGGGAGGAGGGAGGAGGGAGGAGGATGTCCGGAAAGGCCTCCCAGTGTTTGCCGCCCACAGGTCGCTCTGCAGCGTCCCCCTGTTCGCGGGGCAGTAGCATCCCCCCCCGCGGCCGCCGCTGTGCGCGCGGCCAGGGCACGCGCGCAGCTGGCCCGGGCGTCGGGGGTAATCCTCGCTCCTCCTCCTCGCTCCTCCTCTTCCTCCTGCCCCTCATCCACCTGTTCCCCATCCACCTCCCCCTCCTCCTCCTCGCTGCAGGCTCCAGTGTTCATCCTGAACGCAGTATTCAACACATGTAAGTACGCCACCCTGACATACGAGGCACACGCACACGTGATCGAAATTCTCCTCACTGATGGTCACCAGCCCCTCGACGACGACGAACGTACGTCAATTGACTAGGATCCGTCGACCAATCCTCTTTCCCTCTTCGTACAATTTCCAGTCCCATCTCACAAGCTGCCCGAAGCATACGAACACGACCCGTACGTTCATCAGCCTGAGAGAAGACGATCCAGCCAGACTTGGAGGTCACGCGAGGGACCGAAGTCCAGAACCCATCTGGCAACTCCAGCCGATGTTGAATAGCTTCTCCTTCCCTGCGGAAGTGGGGGCATTCGCCCCAGACATGACGGAGATATGGCATCAATTGACTACAGCGTTTGCATGGCAGCCCCGTCCCCCTCTTCGTCTCCGAATTCACGGCTCCACTACGGAAGATGTTCAACAGGGTGCGATCAGTTCCTTCGAGGGACGATGCCCATTTCTTGAAATTCTTGTAGGAGTACAGATCCACGTATACGTCGTCCACTTCTTCAGCGTCATGGCGATCTCGTTGCACATGTTGGATGCACCGAATCCTGGCTATGACTCGAATGGCGTGTAGTGCTGGCTTTGAAGCTGACCAGAAGCGCCAACGGTCGTCAACACGTGTCTTCACATATTCATGTATCCCGAGGGATTCTTTCCAAGCGCTATACCTTGTCTCTATGCGTACCTCACGTACTACAGCCCAAAGGTCTTCGCGTGTTGAATCATCGACGTCTCGAGAAAATTTGACCACGTCAACTTCGTATATGTCGCGTTCGTGATGCCAACTATCGCGGAGGAATGCACTGGATGCAACAATACGTTCTGGGCCCACCATCTGCCGTAGCACCACCAGGTGCAGCTTGTCCGCCACACGGCTTTCGCCAATGACCTCGCGAATTCAGCATGGGGCGGAACCACCAGGGGGCTCGCCCATAGCCAGAGCGGTCGTGGGTATGCCAGCGCCAGCTTTAGCCGAACCTGACTGGAACCAGGGATGGATGCCAGCACTGCGATACCATTCTGAAGCTTCTTCCAGCCACCTCTCGGGAGAATATGCTGATTGGGATTTGTTGGCGCAGCCACAATGCCTAGATGCTCGATCTCGGTTCGGTGTCCTCGAGGTCTTGGTCAGACCACATCTGGCGCCTGGAAACATTCTCGCGGTAGCCAATGGATTCGTCGAAGCGTTGGGTGACCTCAAGATCATCACGAATGTAAGTCGGGACTCTGAGCAACAAGGGATCGATCATCCATGAAACAGTGTCCCTTGCCTGTCGGTTGCCACGGCGTCAAAGTTGCGATTATAGCGGTTGGTGCCACTGCGTCGCCCTGAGGTAGTCCACAAGCAGGGTGGATGGGCTCAGCCAGGGCGCCCTGAATAGAACACCGGCGCGGTCCAGACCAGGCCGCTCAGCATGTAAACATCACCATATCTGGTAACTCGGACTATGGCGTGCAAAATATTATCATATGCTTTGGTGAGATCCAGCTCTGCCCCGTCCGTGGCCTCCGAGCAATCCCGAAGCGACGCCAAGATGGCGTGGGGAACCGAGTATCATCTACGATTTGCTCACTGATTGTCGGGTGGGGAGGCAACGGCGTTGGCCAGAGCTTTGAGCCAGGTGCGCAAGAGAACCGAGCCCACGCTGATGGGCCTGGTGTCGTTCTTGCCCTTGGGGAGGCCTGCAACGCGCCGGCCAAACACTTGGTGAAGGACCTCTGGAGGGAGACGCCCTCTGAGGCGTACAGCCCCACGAGACGTGAGGAGCCACAGGTGGTAAAGCTCGCACGTGATGGTGGGAAGGAGGTGCTCCAGGGCGCGCTGTTCCTGACAGGTCCAACAATCCAGGCCTGGGCATCCTTGAGCTTGTTTGATAGCTTCGGTGAACTGCTCGAAGGTGGGCCTCCAGTCTTTGGGCTGCGCGCTCTTCGGAAACGTCACCGAGCTTGCGTGCTGACGCCAGGCCGTCACGTAGGCGCTGTCGTCGTAGTCGGGTGGGTCCCAGTATGCCTTCCACTGCGTGCGCATCTCGTCCGCTGTCGTGGATTTTGCTGGTGAAGGCCCCTTGAACATCGGCGTAGTGTATTTCCAGGTATCTGATGGCCAGGCAGATTTGTTTTGTCGCCATCGCTTTTATTCGTTATTATGTACTCGTCGTTGTTCCTTAGAGGCCCCCGAAGAGAGGCAGTCCAAGGCGTCGCCGTAGCACAGTAACCCTGTCGCAGGTAGGTGGAGAAGCTCAGGGAGAGCAAGAGCAGCCCAGGCCAGTTGGAGGTAGTGCTTGGTGTGCAGCGCGGTGATTCGTCGCCCCGTGGCGGAGTCCGACGACGTAGACGAAGGTGACGCCGTTGGGCGATAGACTGGTCCAACCTGTAGTACAGGCTGGTGAGTGTGAGGTAGCTCGAGAAGAACGTGCCGACCCTTTCCCTCGCTCCGCCGTGCAGTCCATAGTCATGCAACCACGTCCCACAGCAATGTTCACGGTGCGTTCGGCTCGTGCGCGAGCAGTTGGCCCGGGCGTCGGGGGTATTCCTCGCTCCTCATCCTCCTCCTCTTCCTCCGCCTCATCCACCTCCCCTTTCTCGCTGTAGGCTCTAGTGTTCATCCTGAACGCAGTATAAAAGATGTGAGTACACCACCCTGACATACGAGGTACACGCACATTTTGCCCGACTTGATTGCTGCGTGCCCCACGGAGGGTAACAGATGCAGAGTGCGCCTGTGGCCTGCTCAGGACAGGTGCGACTTAAAGTTAGCTGCAAGCGCCTGGGAAGAGACAGTGCCTGAGAAGAAAGCTCATAAGCGCACGGCAAGATGTGAAAACCTACTCGGGTGGTCGGGCGCGAGCCCACCCGACGAAGAGGTCACCGGATCCCCGCGGGCAGGGAGACATTCGGCAGCTCAAGGGTCCAGTTGCGTGAGGAAGCACGTGAGAAGCCACGGGGTGGTGGCGCGTCTGAAAGGAAGGGAGGTGAAATCGGGCACCCCTCTTGACCAACTTCAATTGGCCTGCGAACGTGCGGTAGCGATGCACGTGTGGGAACGATTAGGGGCCGCGACGCGGACGCTAAGCAGCCCAGCTCAACGGAGCATTTTTAAAACTTCGAGCGGGAAGCTCGCCGCGAGTGGCCCGACCTGGCCCGCGGAGCCCAAACAGGACCAGCATGCCCAGGCCCAGTGCCAGCAATCAAGCCCAGGCCCCCGACGGAGGCCAGCAATCATGCCCAGACACGCAGACCACCAATCAGGTGTGATGCAACCACCAATCAGGTGGTCCTAGGGTCCAGCGACCACTTCAATTGGCACGGCCCGAACTCGGCACGGTGCGTAGCCCGACCACGGTGACTGAATTGCGTTGCGGAGCACTCTGGCCCCTGTTCCGGATGCCACTCCCCGCAGAGCAGCTCTGTAGACGCTTTGGTCGGGCAAGGACTCGCAGCCGCGGCCGTCCGGAGCGGCGTTGGGGGGTGAGCGCTGGCGCGCCGCCCGCGGCCCCCAGCCTGCGCCAGGTGCCGCTCACTCCGTTGCCAGGAGTGGCCTCGCTCTGAGCGCAGCCATCCCCCCCCCCAGCGGCCGTTGCCATTGGGCACGGGTTGGTCAAACTACGTAGTGCAGCTGCAAGATCGCAAGGTAGGACACGAAAGTGACAAAGAGAGATCCCCAGGTGCGAGGTATCTAAGTCCCTCGGCGACCCCAGGGGGGGACGGGACGAGGACGGCGGAACGGCGGAGACGACGCTGCGACTCACCGGGAGGATGTCAGAAGGAGGGTGGCGGCGGCGACAGTGGCGGCACTGAAAACGAGTGGGGTAATGTGAGAAAGAGTGGGGCGCGAGGTTGAAGCAGCGGCCAAGTAGGGCTGCAGCCGGGCGGAAGGCGGTGCTCGACCTGCCGCGAGCCCCGCGGTATCTTGCACGAGGCCGTGGAGAGGCTGAAAGCGTGGCGGCTGCAAGATTGGACGGGGTGGAGTGGGGGCTGAGCTGATTTGGCAACGCGCCCCGCCGCCCGTGCAACGCGAAGGCGGCCAGGAGCGACAATCGCAGGTTTGCTTTCCCCTCGGTCTGGGCCAGGGGCCGCGGCTCGCAGGCCAGAAGGAGCCTACTGGCAGGGCGTCGGCGTCAGTGGGCTGATCTGGCAGAAGAGTGGCGGCACAAGGGCGCAGCGGCAGGCCCTCGGCCCAGCCCTTCGGGCGCTGCGCCCGCGGGCCGCTCACCTCGGCTACGGAGCCGGTCCCCTACCTGCAGCGCGGCGGCGACTTCGGACCCGTTCCGCTTGGCGAATTCGAGCTGGCTGCTCGACGAGCGAGGCGCCTGGTCCGCCTCTCCGACGCAACCTTCGAGATCGACGAGATTCGCGATGTTCGTCGCTCCCCCAGGTCCTTACGACTGGCCCACGCTATCTCTTGCCCGCCCTCCGTCCCGCCGCCGGGCCTCGTTTTGGGCGGCTCCCCGCCGACCGTCGGGCCTCGTTTCGTCCTCGGCTGTCCGCAGTGCCACTCCTGGCGGTCCATCCCTGGACACCTCCCGCCGCTCGTGCTCGGCACCTGTCCCAACTGCGACAGGCCATGCAGCGGCGCCGCCGCCATTGGTGGACTCGCTCGGCCCTCCACAGGGCCAGGCGGCTCTCCCGACTCGGGCGCGGCGCCTCGAAGGCCGTCAGTCTGTCGATCGATGAGGCTGG